AACAAATATCCACACACAGCATTTCCTTAAGCCCGGTGTTGCCAAACTTTGCCTTTTTAAAAATGGGTGTCCTTAACCCCCAGAATTCGCCAGCCATGAAACTGGGAATTCTGGGAGTTGGTCCGCTCATCTTAAAGTGGCCAAGTTTGGACAACACTGCCTTAGTCCATTGGGCACGTAAGACACTTATGCGGATTCCCCAGACTCTGTCTAACTATCAAAGTTGATGGCGCTTCTACCTGTAATGAGAGACTCTCTCAGGGCCAGGTGCTGAGAATCTGTGTTCTTCCAGCATGAATCTTTGAATCTAATTATGTAAAACTACAAATTATTAAATTAGTGAAGGAAAGCTACAGGGACTGTATGATTTAGTGCTGGTTTGTGATTTACTGTTCCTGAGAATGGTTCTGAGCATGTAACTATTGCATTTGCCCTTGAGTTTAGAAATTCTGCAATATATGTACAGTATATAGATAAGAGAGAGTGCACGTGCACACACATTTTATGGACTATTAGCTGCTGCACTGCTTCTAGTACTACCTGAAGAAGCCATTCCAGAGTAAAGCCAAAACATGGAAACTCTAATTGTGTCATTTACCAAGTGGGGATAACACAAGTTAAATGAATTGGTCCTTTTATGCTTTGGGGGCAGAGTGGGGGGCTTTTAAAGGCAAAACGAATGCCTGTATCTTTTAGAACACGACTCTTGGCCCTTCAGACTAATCTCAGTGGTACGCCATGGGGAAGCAAGCACTGCCTTGGACTGTGGCTGAAGCACCACTCGGACCATTTATCTGAGCCCACTTGCCTCGGTGCGTGTCTCTTCCTCGGCTGCTCTTCTGGGACTTCCACACAGCAGCCTAAGCTGCCTGTTTCTCCCGCTGTTTCTTAAGCCAGCTTCAGAAATTCCAGTCCAGGTTGTGGTGGGTTGGCAATGGGGCTGAGCTGGAGCTCAGTCTGGGCCAGGGCCACCGCAAGGCCTCTGGGTTGCTCCCTGCTTCTCCCCTTCACGCCCATGCAGGGAAGGTGAGCCGCCCTGGTTGGCTCTGGTGGGCGCTCTTCTACCAAGGCCCAGCTTTTCCCCTTGGGAACTATTCTTAACTCACTAGTCCCTGTCCCTGTCCCTTGCCTTGCCTTCCTTGCCTTGCCCAGATATTTGCACACACGGCTGCCTTCATCCCCCCTTCCCACACCATCTCCTTAAACCTCTTTCTTTTTTCCCAGGCCATACCTTCATTGCTCTGATGCCAGTTACCAAAGCAGAGCAAAGGGAACAGGTTGTTCTTCGTCCCTATGCTCCTCTGTAGGTCCATGGCAACTCGTAACAGGGAGGACTGAGAGTTCACAGTCCTGGAACTTTCCTCCCTTGTAGCTTAAAGACATTTGAAAAAATAAAGAGAAGGGAAGGCAAACTTCTTGGTCCTGGGGAAGGGGTGAGCAAGCAAGGGGGGCATGCTTTACCCAACTTGGGCAGAAACTGAAGGGATGCCCACTGGGAGATATTAAGGGTTAAATGGAGCAAGGAGCTTCTAGGGAAGGGGGGCTGACTCTGGCTGCGGCGAGCCCCTTGACTGAGGGCCCTCAGCTGGAAGACTGCGAAGACAGACCGGCTGCTCCCAGCAGAGGACAGAGCAGCCTGGCACCCGGGAGGGCAGGGCTGCCCAGGGCAGGGGCAGCGGGGCCAGCACTGCAGCCCCTCGGAGCTGGAGCTGCGACTGGCACAGCGCAAAACCCTGGCAGGGCTTCAGCCGGCTCGGGTCGGAAGGCAGCGCTCTCGACCCGAAGCTGGAAACGGGGGCAGGGGGTGCGTTTGCTGCGGGCTGGGCACAGAAGACAGTGTTACCCATCCCCACACTCAGGAAGCAGTGAAGAGCTGTAGCGGTGACGGACCAAGCAGAAAGTGTGCAACTGCACACAGTCTCTGCTTCTTGGGCCAGGGTGGCTTGTGCCTGAGAGAAATCAGAGTCTGTCCCAGGTAGTTCAGCAAGACAGCATTTTGGTCTTTAGGTTTGAGAGCCCCCATCCCCCACCCTCTCCCGAGCTACTTACATGTGAGAGAGATTCACAAGTTTCTCAAACATAGAGGTTTGAATGTTAGGGATCTCCAGACTTTCCAAATCCCTGCAAAATCAACCCATTGGAGAAGCGTAAGCCACCTGTCCAGAGCGACAGAATGATTCATCCATCAGTATCGGCCGGGGAACCCGGACACTTACAGAGAGCGCAAGTGGGGTACGTTGTCAAAAACATCTGGACAGAGCTGGTGCAGAGGATTGTCTGAAATAATTCTGCAAAAAAAATGGCCAATACCGAAAGCGGGATAATCTTTTGAAAAAGCCATCAGTGTTAATATCTGCTGTTTTTGTCCTGCCTAATAGAGTCATGTATTTGAATGGAAAAAAAACGTTACAGGGAGGCCCCAGTTTAAGAATGAAGTCCGTTCCGGAGGTCTGTCCTTGAGTCAAATTTGTACATAAGGATTACGGTATGATGCTGCGTAAGTAGTATGTGCAGTGAACTCGAACCCTTGGGTATTTAACTCGAATTTTGCTGCAACAGGTTCTGTTCTTAACTATGGGTCATCCGTAAACCCGTTCTTAACCTGGGGACTACCTGCGTGCAGATTTCACAAAGCAAGTGGATACTTTCAACTTATTATATTTTGTTGAAATGCTACTCTTAAGGAATCTAAAGACAATAAAGTTAAATAATTCCATTTATAAAAATAGTTTTAAGAAACGGAAAAGACAGTACAACTACATATTAAACAGCAAATTTTAGGAGTAAATGCTGAAATATTTTTGCCCAAAGAGTTCTATTTAAATCTGGCCAGGGTTTTATACATACAACTGCTGTAACTCATGCAGGCCACGGAGCGATGATGAGATAAGCTCCTTCAATCTGTTGGAGGACAAGTCCCTGTCAGAAACAAAGAACAGATGGTCTGAGATGGGTGATTTGTGCAAGTCACAGATAAAAAATAACAAGCCAAGTGTCATTATTTACACCCTCATAGAAGAACTACAGTGGGACAAACCAACATAGTCCAGCATTCTGTGCCCATAGTGGCCTCTTGGGGACTTGCAGAGATAACTTAAGTTACTGGTGTGCCCATGGAACACCTCTTCTTTGCAAGCTGAACTGGTTGCTGGTTTGCTTCCGGGCATGATTCAAGGAGCTGGTTGCTACCTATAAAGCCCTCCATGGTACAGGGCCTGGTTACTTGAAGGACCGCCTGTCTCCCATGACATCTGCCCGGCCCATTTGATCCTGCAGGCCTGGCACTCTCTGGGTTCCTTTGCTTAAATAATATCATCTGCAGGACCCTGGAAGTGCACTTTCTCTGTGGCAGCGCTTGCCCTCTGGAACAAGGTTCCCCCTGAGATCGGAAGTTGTTTGAAGGGGCCTGAGGACCTGGCTCTTCACCCTCTGGTCCTCACGTGAAGGTGCGTGGAGCCCCCTTGGATTGTGTGGGTTTGCTTCTTTTTCATTCCTGTTTGCTTCTTGTCATCTTTTATTCTTTTTTGTCTTTTACTGTATTTTAAAAACTATTTTTACAGAATTGTGCGGAAAACAAATTTAATGAATAAATAAATGGGCCTAATTGCTCATGTTTTCCATTAACTAGTATGGAAGGGTGAACCACCAGAGATTTTAGATTCTGTGTGACTAGGAGCCACTGACAGCCTTTTCTTCCATGCACTGATTTAAACACTTCCAGGTGGTGGACACCTACTACAAATTATGCACTGGACCTTGATTCAGTACAGGAGATCTATATTTGTGACATACCCATTCACATTTTTTATAAATGATTTTAGCTATAAAATCTATATCCTGCATTTTCACTGATCTTTAAAACAGAGACAATGACCATAGCAATAATATTAGCAAACCATTCAAATAAGATTTGGGGAGAGGCTGCTTAGGTAAGGTAGCAGAAAAGGAGAGAAACAGAACTGAATTTTAGCAAAGGGTTATCGATGGTGGGGGTCAAAAAACCAAGATGGCAATTACACTTGCTCAATCAAAGCCCCACCTTTTCTTGCATGCATGTGCCACATGTAAAAATGGGGTGGGGATGGACTTCTGCTTCTTGCAGCAAAATGACTGGCAACACAAGGGAAGATTGACGGGAGGTACTTACAGTTCCACCAGCCTGTTCAGGTTCAAAAAAGTCCCTTCCTGGATCCATTCGATCTTGTTCCTGTTCAGAGCCCTGGAGGATGAAGGCAAGTCTAAGTAACATTTTATCTGTAATGCATTATTCATTCATTTTATACGTACAACTGTTACTACTTCTACTACTATAAGCAAAGGTTTCTTCACCAACAGAGCCTGAAGAAAATGGCTAAAAGCCCCCACAATTTAATAACAGGATCAAACTATTAATAAAATGATAATGAAATATAGAAACTGCAGCCACAACCTATGTCTCCAAAAGGCTCACCATAATATTTGTAATTTTATTAGTCATGGCAAATTCAGCTTGGCTGACCTAGAAGTTCCATAAAATGCTCACAGGGGAGAAGTGGTCCGTGCTGGCCCTCAGCCTCCATGGATTAGCCTGTTGTTCCAGCAGTTCCATCTCTCCCTGTTCACGGTAGATGGTCTCAGATGGGTCTGCCATCTTGGCAAGATGGATATCCCTGAGGGTGCATTTCACCCAAACAACAGATTACTCTCTGAATATCTAAAAGCGCATTTGTGCAAGTAGAAACCCATTTTGCTTTCAATGAAAAATAAGTAAGATTTTCTGGCTACATTTCCCTTCATGATTTCTCTGCAGAACTTTTCAAATAGTCCTTCCCCCTGGGTGTTCAACATCTGCCTTAAGGCACTGAGGAATGTGGCTGCTGAGTGAACTGCCATGTGCTGATGTTCTCAGTCTCAGTATTATTCAGAGGGCACACAATTGCCGATATTGAAAAGGTTAGATGTGCCTCAAGAAAGTAGAATAAACCATGGGTCTATGCAAAGAATCTTAAGATTTACTTTCTACTGAACAGGCAGTTGGATTGAGCATGACGTGCCTCAGATAAGCCTCCTGGGGGAGGATCTTATACTCTGGCCAAATGTTTCCTTCAGCTATTGGTCAGTTCTCACGATTTCAGTGATTTAAGTCTCCATCTTCAGCAGTGAGAAATCATTCCCTGACTGAACCAGAACAGCTTGCTCCTTCTCCCTCATAAAACTGTCTTTTCTGCAATGTCTGTGACAGGGTATGTTTATATTTCAAATCTTGCCCATGTTTACATTTCCATGAAGTTGACACAGAGAGGACTTTGGGCTCACATTCCCAGTCAAAGCCAAAGGCACTTGCCTGCCTGCCTGCCTGCCTTGAGACAAGAAGAAAATGAATTTTTCTTCAATGTGGAAACTTTTGGGAAAAACTAGGTGCTCCATCTCTCAATGTTACCTACTAAATGTTCAAGGACAATGTCCCTATCTGGGATTAGAGATCTGAAGACACTAGAACGAAGCTACTGCTTTCTATGATTATGGATGTTCATTTTAAAGGATCTCACTTCAGACTTTCCTTCTGAAGTATTACCATCCAACAAAGAGACGCCATCAAGTGAAGGAAGAGCCTCTGCAGGTCCGTGTAATGTGCATCCTCGCTTCATCTCTGTCCCAAGGACCAGACTGGAGTTTCACTGGGCTCCCAGTCCCCTGCCAAGAGCCCGAGGCCCGTGACCTCAATGAACGCGGCAAGGATTGTGCTGCCTGATGGGAGATCCACAGGAGCCAGTCCCAGGGAGTTTTGGAGAAGAGGAGCAGTCTGATTTACACATTTCTTCCTTGCCTTTTGTGTTCTTGTTCCATGGACAATTTGTAGCTTGTGTACAAGGATAATATACATGCCATGCAAGTGCACTGAATTCTCTCCAGAGGAAACAATGCCATCGTGTTTAGGAAAACTACAATCTGTTGTTGAATCTGCACATTCTCCAGAAGACACTCTTGGCTTCATCAGCAACTGGACATAATGTTTCAAAGCAGGACACATAAAATACGCAATAAGAAACTCTCCAACTGACATGAACTTGACCAAAAATAGGTGCACAGAGATGAAATGCAGAACTCAGCCCAGCAATTGGCACCTCATTTGCACTTGCTTCTTTCTTCGGCTTTTAAAACAAAAGCTTTGGCTAATTCAAATATGACGGCCTAAGATAGAAACCGGCCATGATGCTAATTAGCGTATATCCTTTGGTGACAGTGAAGCTGATCACTAGTTTTGGCTTTTATGAAACAAACTTAATTGGTTATCACAGCTGACTGTGACTGGTATCACCGCTATGTTAAGGAAAAGCCAAGAAACCGGAGGATAAAATGTGCAGATTAAAAAACGACACGCATCCCCAAGTGATTGGTCAGCCAGATGAAAAATACTCACAGGACAGTTATCTGAGCACATCCCTGGAAGTCAGAACTTTGCAAAGTCTGCAGCTGATTTCCCTCCAGATCACTGCATGAGGGGTGGGGTAGGAAATATCAACAATGAAATAAGTAAATGCTTTGAATCCTCCAACGTGAATCTGTTGCAAGCTTAGAGACATTCTCTCCTGTTCCCAGGTCAGGCCCTGGCAAGGATCAGAAAGATCTCTTTCTGGCAGGTTGGGAGGCTGAGCACAACTTTTGTGCTTCAGAGAGAACGAGATCTCTCCCGTCCCTGAAGTTATGGCCCGGGAAGTGGGCATCCACAGTAGGCAGGCAGGAAATGCTGTTCCAGAGAGCAGGAAAGAGCCTCGCCAGGCTTTGCTTTTGTACTACCAAGGTCCATACTCTGGGCTTAAGAAGCATTCCCCGTCCCTCTTCCCAACCTCACATGTATTTTAGAATTAGATGCTAGTGTGAGATTTCTAGCTCTGTTCTCTGGAGCTCTTTGTCCAGCCTGGGCAAAGGTGACCGAGCTTCCTTCAGCACAGGGCAGACTAAGGCAGGGTGCCCTCCCTGGCTCTCAATAACCAATTGGAGGAAACGTATCCAGGTTCTCCTCCCACCCAACCCAAACTGCAAAATGGGAGAAACTCACAGCCAGTTTAGCTTTGGAAGGTCCATACAGAGGGAAGGGCTTGGCATGGCCCTCAGGGAGTTGTTGTGCAAGTCCCTGCAATAGAATCACAAAGGAGATGTATGTAGTTGTGGATTTCCAGATGTCATCCCTATTCTTGATATATCTAATCATTCTTTCCCATGGCTATTCTGTATTCCACCCCATCTTTTCCATGTCTGTCAGTCCTTCTTGGGCAGACCCTTGTCTGTGGCTGTTTCAAATGGGAACCATACCAGCAATTGAGGCCCCAGTGGGGGTAGAGCTCTTCCTACCCAATCTCAGCCAGACTCAGCACAGGAAAACTGAATATCACCCCCCAAGTTTCAGGCAGTGTGCAATTCTTGGAAGTGTTTGGCCCTGCCAGATTTGGAAAGCATCCATTATTTACAGGATACTGCCCCAAACTGTCTTCAAACCCAGAATGGAACAATTAGAATAAAATATATTCACTGTATCAGTTAGTTTCTCCGTTAGACATGTGTTACTTATTGCCTGGAATCACTGCACATTAAAATATGACCCAACAAGAGCAAAGAACAAAGAAAAAAAAAGAAAATTAATCTTGCTAAGGAGCGCAGCCACAGAAGGCCAGGAAATGAAGTTCAGCTCAGCTGCTCAAGCCCAGGGTGCAGGAACGAGAGAGGGGAATTTACTCAGCGTGGATAATAGAGGCCTCGATCCCTCTGATGAAAGAAAAGGGAAAGCTGGGTGACTGACATGCATGTCAGCCTATTATGGGATGTTTTGCTTTACCACATACGCATCTTAAGCACCCTATTCCCACTCCATTAAACGTATGTCTTCCTGACATGCAGAACTCTCATTTCCTTATAACAAGGTGGACAGAAGTACATCTCATATATAGCCATTGTCATTCTTTTGTATGAACATTTATTCCTCCTAACAGATTGCATACTATTTACTACTATTCTAGAAGCTTTAGCATATCTTAAATTTTTTCCATCCATTTCCCCTTTTTAATAAACATTCTACCAAGTACACACATTTAACTACAGTGGAATCTCGGTTTACGAACTTAATTCGTTCCGTGACTCTGGCCGCAACCCGAATTGGTCGCAACCCGAAGCAAATTTCCCCATAAGGTTCAATGTAATTACCATTAATCCGTTCTGGCGTGGAGGACAGGGAGGCGGCTCTTGCCTGGTGGGAGAGTCCCCCTCCCTACGACCACGTGTCAGGGGCGGAAAATGGCCGCGGACCACGTGTCGGGGGCGGAAAAATGGCCGCGGACCACGTGTCAGGGGCGGAAAATGGCCGCGGACCACGTGTCGGGGGCGGAAAAATGGCC